CAGTTAAATCCTAGAAATGTTAGAGGCAGTAGCCTCAGCCTGAGAGCAACAAGCAACAACTAGTCAACCTTATGTCACAGGAGAGGTGTGTCGCAAACCAAAGGGTGGGATGGTCTATGAGGGTGACGAATGCATCCCAGGGGTCGATAAACTCCTAAGGGCATCCACACATAGTGACTGGGGGAACACATGTCATCAGGCTCAATAAGGGTAGGGAACTGGGAGCGAATAGAACCAATGACCCTAACAGATAGACCATGAGGGCGGGTAATGCTCGATTAAAGGGATGACCGCTATGGAGGGTCGACCATGCAAGGGAACAAGGGAGCCTGGTATACTGGGCGCACCTAGATGAAGCATGCGAGGCTGCCTAACTAGGGCGTGAGGGCCGACAGAGGGTAGAAAGGTGATGGGTAAGAGAATCATGCAAATGACTCCTAAAGTGAGGGAAGTCGGAGTTAGATCCGTAAGCTGGGAAGCCAGGCCAACGCTACAGTCCCGATGCCTATGCGTATACCAAGGGACAACCCAACTCAGAGGAACCCGACGAAGGGAGACCATCATGCGGCACAAGCAGGGTACTGTACAGGGTAAAGTGGTAAGAGACTGATGGCGTCTAAAATAGGCAGAGTTGATCGTGACGAAGTCCATGAAGATGCCGATGACGTCTGCGATGAGAAGTCCGGAATGTCGTTGAGGAAGAGCCGCAACGTCGAAGAGCTGAAGTAGCAAAACTGATGTGGATGGAGTACTGAGAAGTCAAAGACGTGGGAAGGCAAGTCAGAGTCAATCGTTGTATCGAGCAGGACGGCGACGAGTGTACTGTGGACGCTCAGAAGCATCCGGCTGCTGCTGAAGGTCTGCCTCAGATGGAGCAGGCTCGACTTCAGCGGTCTCCTCAGCCGGGGGAGAAGGAGGAGGGTCCGTAGGCTGAGGAGGAACAGTAAACCTCTCACGACGGGCACGGTCATAGACACGTACCAACATGCGAGCGTACTACAAGTACTCGAGGGGCTCCCAGGTAGCCTCCTCATCAGGGTAACCCTTCCAACGTACGAGATACTCGGCGTGGGGAAGGTTGTCGTTGGTAACTCGGCGACCAATGATGTCTGAAACGAGGAACTCCTCGTGGCCGTCCACCATGATGGGTGGCGGACGCTCTTATGGTCGTCCAGCGAAACGCTCAGACGGTCTGCGGTAAGGACGCAATAACGAGACGGGGTAGACATCGTGCACACGAGCCTTGCGTAGGTAGTCGGGCAGCTTCACACGGAAGTTGACCGGGCTAGAAGCCGTATGAGAACCGAAGACCTGGAGGATGCGGCATGGACCAAAGAAGCGATGCCGAAACTTGCGAAGCGTGTCCGCTTCGAGCTGTAAGTGGCGGGTGTCGATCAACACATCATCACCGACTTTGAAGGGATGATCCATCCTCGATCGGTTCGCACGTGCTGCCATGAGAGTCTGGGAAGTGGCTATGTGCTCATGTGCGGTCATCATGATCAACGTCATGTGTGCAACCCAATCATCCATCGCGGGACAACTCGTATCGGGGTGCATCTGTGACGGTCGAAGGAAGTCCGCGGGAACACGAGGGTGATAGCCGAGGTCGCAATAGTAAGGCGACATCCCCGTGGCTGGCGAGAGGGCGTGGTTGTAGGCTATCTCCGCGTGGGCAAGATGGAGATCCCACTGCTGGTCGTCACAAACAATCTTTCGGAGAATGTCTCCGAGAGTCCTGTTCGTGACCTCGGTCTAACCATCATTCTGGGGATGATAAGACGAGGAGAAGCGGAGCTGGGTGCCATAAACCTCGTGGAGCCGTCGCCAGAATCGGCTGGTAAGGCGCGGTTAACGGTCAGATATGATGCTCAAAGGTAAGCCGTGGTCACGCACGACTCGGTCAAACATGATGTCGGCGACCTCATGTGCACTAATGGCATAGTGGCACGGAACAAAGCGTGCACGCTTCGTGAAGCGGTCGACGGCGACCAGGATAGCATCATGCCCACGGGGGGTCGGAGGACGAAGAGGACCGATAAAGTCCATCGAGATGGACTGCCAATGACCCTTAGGGATAGGAAGAGGCTGGAGCAAACCATAAGGCAAGTGGTTAGCACTGTTCACCTCCTGACAAGTGGGACACTCTGCGACGTAGTCCTTCACAAAGTCCTTGCGCTTCGGCCAGACGTACAGGCGGCTCACATGAGCAAACGTCTTGTGGAAGCCCATATGACCGGCTGCTGCCTGGTCATGGAACTCTGCTACTGCTCGGACACGTAGCTGTCCAGTGGAGGGAACACAAATACGGGGTTTTTTGGTGCCCTGTGAACCGTGCCAGTACACAAGACTATTGTCCCCGAGAGAGTAGTTCGGGACGGTCTTGCCACTCCAAAGGGCCGCGTGGATGTCGCGATAGTCGGGGCAGTGGCGGTAATGAGTGCGAAACTCGTCGATCACCGAGTGGTGGACAATGGTGACCAAGATGGAAGAGAGCTGAATCTGCTCCTAGTCGTGGTCAGGGCGCCGGGATAAGGCATCTGCAACCCGATTAGTCTCACCCTTGATGTGCTTAGTGGTGAAACTAAACTCGAATAGGTCGCGCCACCAGCGAGCCTGTCGAGGAGTGAGCTTCGGTTTTGTCAGAAAAGCCTGGACAACAGAGTTGTCCGTACGCACAGTGAACGGTGCCCCGTGCAGGTAGTGACGCCAGTGCCGAGCGACATAAACTACAGCGAGAACCTCACGTTCATCAGCGGTGTAGTTTATCTCGGCGGGCAGGAGCTGACGGGAGTAGAATGCTATCGGACAATCATCTGAGCGAGACTCGAAAGTGCCGTCCTCGGCGATGGTAGGAGAATAGTCAATTTAAGGCTCGTCAGTAGCTGGACGAGTAGGCATCAGGCGGGAGGCAGTGGTAGGGGTAGGGGGTGGGAAACGAGGGATACAGGGATGGGAGGAATCAGGAGAGGAGGGGAAAGTATGAGAAAGCACTGCTCCTACAGCAAAGTTTGACGCATCGGTGGTAAGTATAAAAGGGCGGTCAAAATCGGGTAGGTGAAGAACCGGTGCGCATGTCACCGCCTTCTTGAGGGCGCGGAAGGCGTCCTCGTGGAGGGGTGTCCAAGCCCAAGGTGGGTTTTTCCGGAGGAGGGTGGAGGTAAGGACGTAGGAATACCTAGCATATCCCTTGATGAAATTACTATAGTAGCTGGTAAGGCCTAGGAAGCTGCGAAGCTGCTTGGCGGATGTGGGGACGGGCCACTCCACGATAGCAGTGATCTTCGGGTCGTCCATGTGGAGACCCTGGTCAGACACGTAGTGTCCTAAGAAATCCACTTTGTGCTGGGCAAAGTGGCACTTGCTAAGCTTGGCGTAGAAGCCATGTCAGAGCAAGCGGTAAAGGACGTCGCGGAGGTGTCTGAGGTGTTCCTCAAGGGTACGACTATAGACCAGGATATCGTCAAGGTAGACGAGAACGTACTGCTCCAGGATGTCCCTGAAGATGTCGTTCATCGCCCTCTGAAAGGTAGCGGGTGCGTTGGTGAGGTCGAATGGCATCACCGTGAATTCGTAGTGGCTGAAGCGCGATCGGAACACTGTTTTCGGCTGGTCGGCTGCAACGACGCGAATCTAATGGTAACCGCTACGAAGATCAATCTTTGTAAAGAAGCGGTTGCCTGCTAGGCGGTCGAACAGCTCGTCGGAACGAGGCATGGGGTAGCCGTTCTTAACCGTATAGCGGTTGAGGCCGCGATAGTCAATGCAGAGACGGAGAGTTTCATCTGCTTTGCGAGCAAAGAGGACGGGTGCAACCCACGGGGAGTTGCTAGGTTTAATGAAACCCAGTCTCAGGAGCTTTTCAAGCTGACGCTTGAGTTCGGTGGCCTCGGGGATCGAGAGTCTGTAGGGTGCCTGGTGGTGAACACGATAGTCAGGCACAAGCTGGATGGAGTGCTCGACGTCGCGCATCGGTGGGATGCCAGCGTACGAGAGCGACGATGGGAAAACGTCGTGGTACTCTCAAATGTTGTACGAACTGCGGGCTCCAAGTCGGCCGTATAGCGTGCGAGTTCCTCAGCGTCAGCGTCGGCGCGCGACGACAAGGCGGACTCAACGAACGGTGGAGGGTGGGAAGTATAGATGGGAGTCATGGAGATTGAAGGAGGATTTGGCTCCAGAGGGATGAGCTCAGTGTCGGGACAGAGTGGATCATAGTGTAAGAGATCCGTCACGTTCACCATAAAGAAGGTGACGTCGTCCTGTCGCATGAAGTGAGCAAACTGCCAATGCGAGGTGACAGTAATAGAAGGAGATGGTGTGGGCGCAGAAGATTCCGGGGGAGGAGGATCGGGGCGTGGTGTCGCAGTGGTACCTATGAAAGGTACGCGATACGTCTGTCCACACTTCGTTTTTTGAACGAGAGTGTTGGTCGCCCTATCGGCCTCGGTGTTGCGGAACCGACGAGACCACGGAGTGCCGAGAATGAAGTCGTACCTCGTCTCCATCACATCGAAATGTGCAGAGGAGCGGTGGTGACGAGACGCCGGGGGACGATCAGTCGGCTCGAGAGTGAGGAAGAAAGGGAGGTCGGTGACCATCTGATCAAAGAAGCGCTGGGTCTTGTCATCCCCTAGGGTGACAGAGATGGGAGTCCGAGACCCTGTCATGGGTAAGCGGGCTTCTTTCACCACACGTGGGTGAACGAAGTCACCCTGAGAACCGGAATCCCACAGCGCTGAGTACAGCCTCGTGGAGGTCCCCAGTCGTACGGGGATGACCGAGAGGGTGCGATCAGGGTTAGAGAGGATGGTGAGAAGGCGACGCAGTGCAGCGACATGGAAGGTGAGTCGCTCCTGACGAGCCTGGAGCATGCTCAAGTCCAGAAGAGAGGCCACAACGTTCTCGCGAGTAGCGAGCTGCTCGCTGCAACGGGCTAAGCGAATGGTTCGATGCGTAGCTAGTCACGGTGGGGTAGGAGGGGAGACGGTGGTCTGCGGAGGCGCAGACGGTACTGCGACAGAGGGCTGAGTACACCCTATCGGATCCTGCGAGACCTCAATTCCAGTAGCGAGAGGGGCAAACCGCGACGGGGATGTCGGGAAACCGACTACTGAGGAGGACGCAGGTGTACACTGCACCGTGGCTAGGAGGCGCCGCGGGGATGCGAGGCGCCGGGGGGGGACTGAGCGCGACGCTGGCGGGAAAGGTTGGCGTAGTGGCGGTCAAGGGCGGTGGTGTAAGGGCATTGCGAGGAGGTATGACCGTACCGACGACATCGCAAACACCCACGCCGGCGCAAAATAGCCGCGCGCTCCTCAGTGGAAAGGACACCGCAAGGAGGGACAAAGCCCTGAGGGAGGTTCTGCTGAGGGACCTCGGGGGGCGACGCGCCAGGGTGACCAGGGCGGCTGCATGCCGGGGAAAGGATGGAGAGGATGAGTTGAAGGCGCTCATCCATAGGGAGAGTAGAGTCTTCCAAGTGGTGGTGGACAGCCTCGCCGAGGTCAAGGTCGTCGCTATGGTCACCCTCTGGCGACAGCGGGGCACCAACGTCCTGCTCACCATACTCGAGCGCGCTGAAGCGGGGCGAGAAGTGGCGGCTTTGCTGAGTGGAATGACGGGGGCGACCGTGGAAAGGGGAACGCCGCTGGGAAGTATCGTGAGAGGAGGAGGAGGAGTAACCAGTACTCTGGGGCTGGGAGGAGGAGGCGGGGTGAAAACGGGCCCGCATCTGCTGATGGTCCCTGGCGGCTTCGTAAGCCTGCGGGGCCGATGTGAACTCGTACCGCCATAACTCGGAGCGGTACTCGAGCGKGAGGCTGGCCAAGAAACGATCGATAAGGGCAGCCTCGGGGAGAAACGCCACGTCACAAATGAGGCGGGCGTCCCGAAAGACCTGGATGTGGCGATCCAGGCCGGCAGCGCCACTAGAGCCGGACCAGTGTGTAGTAACGACACGCTCGAAGGCGTCAGTCACGTCAGGTCGGGCTCGCGGAACGCCTGGAAATCGATGAAGGTCGGGACCCGACCCGCGCGGAGGGAGTGCACGTAGAAATCCCCCAGGCCTCGAAAAGACTGCCACGCAGGCACATGGAGAGGTGACCCACCCACGTGTCTAGTGTGGCGCCCATGAGCTGGAGCGTGCGGGTGGCAGACAGCAGCCACCGAGACATGCGTATGCCTGTACCGTCATACAGGGCAATGTTCGACAAGCGGACGGGTGGTGCGCCACCATTTTGGCGCGCGAGGGGATCGAGGAGCAGAAGCCTATGCCGCGGTTGAGTAAGTCGGCGCAGGTCCTAGAGAAAGGGGCGCAGCTGACTACGCACCCGGGTCGCATGGGGGAGCGGCGGGGCCAACTACGGCAGGCTGTGAGGGAGCTGCGGTAGAAGAGGTCGCAGCAACCGCAGGAGTAGGAAGAAGGTAGGATGGGGCTGGATATGGTGCAGGGCGTAGGAAGCGAGCTTGCATGGGAGGAAGGGTAGAGGAGGTAGCGGGTGGCCACCTGTGAGGGTGGGGGTGGCTGAAGGCGTAAGAGGGCGAGGTCGGCCCGGATCTGGGCAAACTCGTCCTCGAGATGTTGGACGTGGATCGAGCGAGGAGCGGCAGGAGGAAGAGTGGAGGAAGTGGACGCACAAGCGGCGCGGGGCATCCCAGAGGGGGGAGAGCCAGGTGGCGCGGCGGTCGTGCGAAGGGAAGGGAGAAGCGGGGCACCCGGAAAAGCTGAGACCATGGTAGCGGGTTGTGGTCTCGTGGCCGTAGTGACCGGAATCTGGGCGGGTGCGCCTATAGACTGAGGTAGGGTCTGGCTCGTGGTGGCCGTCGTGCTAGGGGCGTGGACATTCACCAAGATGGCCGGGTCGGGGGCAGCGGAGGAGGAAGCTCCGTCGTGGCCACCCTGTCGGAGGACGGGGGACCCGGACTGGGAGCCAGGAGATGAAGGGCAGACAACGTCCTAGAGTTGTTGCATGCCGGCGGCAAGGGTCGCCACTTGCATCTGTAAGGGCGCGAGGATCGCGAATTGTGCTTAAATGGGCGCGAGGAGGGAGGTAATGAGGGTGTGCCAGTCCCCCTGGGGCTGATGGCCCTGGTCCGCCGGCACGGGTGTGAAGGTCGTCGCCGCGTCGGCGGCGTGTGACACATCGTCGGCCATGGGGAGGTGACGGGCTCGATTGGAGGGGGCCAGAGGAGGTCCGCGTGAGCGGAAGGCGTAGGGGGGGGTCCGCGGTAGAAAGCGGCGGACGGCGCTAGCAAGGTTTGCGCGGGCGCCGTCAAAGGGGGAGGGGTGGTTCGGATCCAGGGTGCCTGAATAGGAAGGGGAAGTATGGGGGGGGTTGAAAAACACTAAACCCTAGAAAAACCGTAAGAAAACCCTAACCGGAGTTTGAGTGGTTAGGGTAGGGTACCGGTGACCTAATCAAGAAAATAAAATAGCAAGCATAAGGGGGGGGGAAGGCGGGAGAAAAATGAATAAACAGCGAGATTTTGGGAGAAAAATAAAAATAAAAAAATAAATAAATAAATAATAAAAAAATAAAAATAAATAAGGAAAGAAAATATGAAGAGAGAAATGATATTTATTTTTTTAGAATTTTCGGCAGCATTTCCCTACCCCCCATGGGGTCAAGAATGTGCCAAGGGAAAAGGGGAGCCCAAGATAAGCACACTAGGTTTCAAACTGCCGTAAATTAAAATTTTCAGAAAATAAATAAACAAATAATAATAAATAGATAAATAAATAAATAAGTAAATTAGTGGGTGAGGAGGTGGAGAGAGATGGGGTGTCTGATTTTTCAAAACTTTTGGCAGCATTTCGTTACCCCCATGGGGTCGAAGTGTGCCGAAAAGACTAAGTAAGAGAAAATCAGAAAATTTCGGCAGCACTTCGTTACCCCCACGGGGTCAAAATGTGTGCCGAAAGCAAGAAAGACTAACACCTAATCAGATTTAGGGTTGCCGTAAAGAAAATTGAATTTTCAGAATAAAGAAAAGAAAATGAAATAAATCAGAAAATCAGAAAAGAGGGTGGGGAATAAGATAATTCGATTTTTTTTGGAAAAGAGAGGAAATATAAATCAAGAGAAGATAAAAAGAAGAAAAAGGAAAAAACAGAAATTTTCGAAGTTGGGGGGAAGGGAGATGAAAAGGTGAAGGAGAGAAGAGAGAAATGGGTGGGAGAGAAAAAAAGATGGAAGTGGGAGGTAGGGGGATGATGTGGTGGTAGTTGGGGGAGAGTAGGGATGGGGAAAGGTGAACAGGGATTAAGAAGCAAAAAGAAAAGGAGGAAATAAAAGAAAATAAATGAAGAAAAGCGAGTAAAAGAATGGGTGGTGGGAGAAAAGGTGGGGTGGGAAGAGGGGTATGAGTAAAGGGGGGGGGGGG